GCCCATTGGGTGTTGCCTGGAAATGGGGGATGTGGGCAAGGACTGCAGGCAGCATTGAAGCAGACCCCTCACAAAGACATATTGGAAGCAAGCCATTACTCAGATGTTGATGTAGCCGTGTGTGGTCAAACAAGGTTGCCACATTGAAGGAAGGAAACATGGGCTTATCTATGGACAAAAAACATAGCAAATAGCAGCGAAACAAAGATCCTACCCCTCCTTCAAGCATGGAACAGGGCAATGAGTTCAGGAAGGAACAATTGCACAGTGTTTTCAGAATACAATATGGAAGTGGCTAGGCAGGTATGTCCCCAATGCTTGGACATGGTCTACCATCGAAATAGGTGTGTCCGCCTTGCCTACTGTAGTTACTTGAGAGCACATCTTTTGCGGACTACAATCACTACAATCTCTGGATTGTCAGAAAACCACCACGATTCAAGTTGACATGGCAGAAAGATCCTTGCGTTTCCGAAACAAAGTCTTTGTGGTTTGCATAGTTTCTGCAGTTTTGGGGGCAAAATGGGCCAACCTGTGTCAACGCAGCATCCCTTGATGGTCAAAGTGATGGGAACACGTGGGCAAACCCCCGGGCCCTGCTGTTTCCCCATGAACCGACTGGTCCTTCATGCGGGTCCTCGAATCCGAACCGTTCCCGGGGTAATCCTTGCGGATCAAGGCAAGGCATCTGAGGTGTTTGGTGTCTACTTTGGACTTCCCAGCGATCTTTTGACGTTTTCCCTTCTTCCTTTACACACCCAAATAGGACCAATTTGGGTTAGATGGCGGGGTGGAGACACTGGCAAAAGCCCCAGCAAAATGAACCTTGTCGTCCAAAGTTCCAGTTTAGGAAACAGGTGCCATGTGTCTTCTGATGTATTGTGTGAGCGTAGTTACATGTCTGGCATTTCTTTGATTCATGCCTGTTGAACTCAACGATTTCAAAACTGTCGATCAAGCAATGCCAACAAACAAGTATACACTGGTTGATGTATGTCGGGGAATCTAACAGAGTGCACCGATTAAAATCTTCCAAAAATATTTGCAATCGCCATTAAACACCATTGGTTAAAGGGCAAAGAACTGTTTTGGATTTAAGAGCATCTGTTTTCAAAAAGGGTCCGTTCTACTTTGCCTCGCATAGCGGAAGGCAGGCTACTCACAGCCAGGAGGATACAAGGTCCTTTGATGGTGATGGTGGGGAATGCCACCGAAAATCATCGCATTCTGGGGGTGCAAGTATCTATCTGTTCTGATTAGGTGTGATGGTTTGCACGTATGGACATACAAACAGGGGGGTGTTCAAGAGACTGACGTAGTGTACGTGCCACGATCCACAGCGGAACATTGAACAGAAACAGCGGACGCACCAAAAAACCATTTGCACATCTTGTTCTTGAGTGCATCCCATCCCTTTGCTCCCTTCTTCGCCAATCAAAAAAGTACAACCTTGGTCTTCCAAGACATCTGAGCACCAGACCCTAGCAAGAAGCAACTCAAGGCATAGCTCTGCGTTCCAGGCGCGCAGGAATACCTCCACAACAACGAGTCCTTTCAACGGCATGGTTTTAGTTCCTTCGTAGTGGTTTCCGAATACGGCGTGGCGACGACCATGGCCTCGGGTGCTGATGTATAAACAATATATGTGTACGTTATGTGTGTTGGTGCAAATTTCAAATATATGAATGTATATACATTGATCATGTATATATATATGTATTTCTTTGGTTTTTTATTATCTACTTTGCCCCAATATATAGACGACATAAATGTAGACTGTCAATATTGCTGTGTATTGGGGCAGATACACCCCAAACCAAACCTCTCAGAGTAAACATCGACCAAACACATCAATTGGGAGGTCTCCCTGTTTCACTGTCTCACTCGTGCTTTGAAGGCACGCAATCACACCCATACAGCCACTGAATGAAATGCTAACCTTCTATGCCACAGACCGCGCGACATCCCGACCCGCGGATGGAGAAGGACCATGCAACTACCCCAAACCAACTCCCGAACAAGCCGTTGGTTCAACTGGTTCCTCATGGGGGACATGCTGCTTTGAATGGCTGATTTTTGCTAGCTGCTAGTGCGGTGCACAACAGCGGCTACGTCGTTTCCAGTCTTGAGATGTCTTGAGTGCTTTTCAAGCCAGTCGCCACTTACCTGCATGAACAAAGACTGGAGAACATAACACTGATCAAATCAATCAAGGCAAAAGACCTAAACCATAGACTTTGTCCAATCTTCAATTGTCCCCAACACCCGCTGCAACAGCAAAGACTTCCGCGAGTGGATGTTTGGCAGGGAGAGTACCAGCTCCAGCACCGAGTTCCAAGCAAAGTGTAGATAATTTGTTACGGAATCCGTCCGCCGTGTTTCACAGCCAAATCGGAAAACCAAAGCCAAATCTAAGCCCCACGGTCTGTACACGGCTGTGGGGGGTTGTCATGATTTTGAGGATCTTGGTTTCTGATGCTGAACCTGTAGCCTGACTAGGTTTCTGATGTTTTCTGGAATTTGTGTCATTGAGGCCTCAAGCTGACGGGGAGTGTAAAGGAAGAGTTTCGCTAACATGAGAAGTGCATTTGTTTCTTTTCGGAAACCCCCCAAACTCATTTGTTTATGAAGAACTCAACGGAGATGGGCACGCCGGAAAGAAGACGAAGGACAAGAACTTGAACCAAAATGGAACAGCAAAACAAAACAAAAAGAAAAGCAAAACAGGAACGAGAAACTGGGAGCCATGACACTGCAAACACTGTGAGCATCTATCTGTGAGCCATGTTCGGGGTGCCCAGTCTCAAGTCTACACGGGCCGTCGCTTCATCTGCATGGTTGTGTTCAAAGGTCCAGTATTTGTGTTTACTTATAAAATGACTTACGACTGAGTGGTTTCATGCATATGGTTAAGGTACTAGCATAGACACGAGCGCTACTTGTGTTCTATAGATGTTCTATGATTTTCTCATACCTTTAAGTTCACTACAAGTAGCACGGCAAAGGCCATGTTCTACCTATTTTTCCTTATTATGCTACTTGTGGGGGTAGAGGCTTTGAGGTTGGATTTTGCAGGTCATCCTTGCGCAGTTATCGCGTTGTCAAAGCTCGGCTCAAGCGCAGGGAGCTTTGGAGACAGGCATACACCCAAAGAGGTTGCCCGGTGCGAAGTCGTGGCGTGCTTTGTTCTGGCTAGACCAGCAACAGAAGAGAGCGCTGTCACGTGTGCGACAGCATGGCGGCCTCGTTTTCCCTGAGACTTATAGGCTGGAGAGCTTACTCGGCTTCATTGGCCCAATATAACATATGTATAGACCGCTGCGGTTGCAGGAGATGAAAAAAGGAGCCCGTCAATTGTGGGAAAACTGTACGAATTTGGAATGTGTGGGAAAACTTTGAAGAGATAGGATGTGGGAAATGGATGGAAATGGCCTGTCCATTAAATTTTTAAACACAGAGAATTGTGGGAAAGCTGCAAACTTTGAAAGTCATTTGTGGGATATCTGTGGGAAGATCTGGGCGGGAACATTGCTGTTTTCAACCTTGGGCGGGACTTTTGCTGTGCGCAATGGCTATATTATATATATATTTGCGTTTTGAGTGCTGGCGCGGATCCTGTCCACCGAAGAGAATTGCGGTCCTTGTGTTATCACAAATAGACACTTGTTGCAAAGAGCAACCATGGACGTTCAGGGATAGCTGCATGGCTCCATCTTGCTAGTATTTACAGGAGCTCACAGAAACCATCTACACGTGAAAAAAAAACATAACGTTCTACTTATGGGACTACTTAATTATGCTACTTACAGTAATAGTGACATAAGTAGCATAAGTATACTTATGTATACTTATGTTACTTACTTATAAGTATAAGTAGCAGCGCAACTAGCATTATAGGTTAAAAACACACACACACACGGTATCGCATTTAAACGAGCTGTCGTTTCATCTTGACTACATTGTTGTGTTCAAGTGTCCAGTATCGAGTTTGCACGATGTGTCGTTCATCTACAGCACAGTGTAGCGTTCGTCTCTCCGGAATCGAGTTTTATGAAGGGTCGTTTCATCCACAAGGCATCCGAAGGGTAGTGTTCCAGTTTCTGGACTCCAGTGTACGGTGCGCAATTGTGCAAGAACAGTTGCTTCATCTTGACAAGATGATAATGCAAATTGCCTTCCTCCCCACCCTCCCACCCCCCGCGAAAGTGTGTGACCATGAATGAGTGTATGATGCCTGTCTGCATCAAACATGCCAAAAAAAAATTACACCACCAGCATAGACCCCAAACAGTTTCAGCAGGAGTTGTTGGGGGTCAATTCCTTGAATTCCAATGTTGGAGGATGACTTTAAACTTGAAACGCTGCATGAATCACTGTTGCATTCAGAGCAACAAGAAAACCCACCCAAACAAGGCGGTGGAGAACGGGAAAGCAGCGTGGCCAAGCAGGGGGACAAGGCCCAAACAAGGCATAAGAGAGGGCCGACAACGCCAACACACAGATGTGGACATACAGATGTGGACATGGCCTGAAGCAAAACACACAGGCCTGGACAAACCCTGGGCAAAGCCCCGACAAGGTAGAGAAGACAGGGCCCACGGGACACACGGACCCGTAGAAGGCCCAGACGAAGAAAGAGCGGACGGCGTGGCCGCGGCCATCGTGGCCAGCCCCTTTTTCTAGAGAACTCCAACTCCAACAGTAAGCAAGAGGCCCGGCCAGGAGGACGTGAGGGAGACTGTGGATGATGTTATTTTTCCTAAGAGATAACCCCAGTAAACCGTAAACTGTTTGGGGAATTACTTTCCATCCGATCATGCATCAGAGCACTGAAAAAACACCAACTCTCTCCCCAGCCCAAAAACGGAAACGGCTATATGAGGGACTGTAACATGCACCGTGGAACAGTTCGTACCGTGGTCCAACTACTTGGAGCCCCAGGTGGAGGGAAAACAGAAGGCGTCAGAATTGGGTTACCAGATTATCCGGTTTGGGAAGTGTCACGTTCTGGGCTGCACCATGCTATGCTGATCCATGCCCAGGTGTGGCCTGCGCCAAACGCCGTTGGCTTGCAAGGCGACGAGCATGCCAGGCCTCAAAGTGCGCCAGTATTCTCTCTCCGCCGGTTCTACGGGGGAAGTAGACTTGACCCTTCCTGTGTGATTCCCTTACCATCCCCAGTCCCAGGGTTTCCAGGTTGGAGAGCGTGGAGCGCTTTCAACCAACTGGAGCATGACTCACTAGACTTCGACCTCACCCAAAGGTTGCTAACTGGGAAGCCTTTGCCTTCAGACCTCAAGTCCTGCTAACTGCTAACTCATCTGCTCGTTGCGTTTGAACCAGTTGAGTCGGGTGGGCAAAGGGCTGGCAGCCATCTAACCAGCCCTTTGACGAAAAATGCTGCGGATTGATGGGTCTTTGCGTGCTTTTGTAGAGATGTCGACCCATTCCGGGATCCCTACCGGTTTCCGTTCCAGAATGGTGAAGCTCGAAACTCTAGGCTCTAGAGCAAGCCCGCCAAATTCATCACTGAGTGGTTAGGCAATGAAATAATTGACACTTGGAGGAACACACTCCACAGACTTTGCAATGGTTGTAAATAGATGTAAATAGTTGAAAAGTGCCGCGTGAAAAGCAAGAAGAGGCAGAAGACGTGCATCTCCACCCACACCGTCTACACTTTAATACACATAGTGAGTCTCTTTCCCCTCCAAAAGAACGCGGCACATCATTGTGCACGTAGCACGTCTTCGATGATACCATCAGTTCACTTCCAAGAGTCTCAGTGCGCAGGCGCATGGGATGGCCATCCTCATCAAAGGGTTGAAGCTCTAAGGTACCTCTGCGGCGAGGGTGCCACGCGGTGTGCAAAAACACATGGAGGACATGAGGACATGGGAGATGGGACCCAGGTGGAGGATGGTTTCCAGGATTGGAGACGTGTGACGTATATGAAAGCGGCCAAGTTCACCTGCCTGACACACGATGTCACATGATCTTATGTCAAATGGTATCTGAACTCCCAGAATGCTATATATATATATATACAAAATGAACTCTGAACTCCAAGAGCATTCTAAAGCCAACAGTACAAAGCAATAGAAAGCCACTCGCCAAGTGAGGGGATCTCCCACTGGAAATCCCTCCAGTTCCTTTCCCTGCCTCGGGAGGGGCCAAGGAAGAGGATCAGCATGATCTGGTGCCTGGATCGGCCAGGAGAGGATTGGATGGTGCTTTTCCTGGCCATACCATGTCATACCAATACGTATGTATCCATAACCATATTGTCACAGTCAAAATCTTCTAAAAACCCAAGAATGAGATCGGGTGAAAGATACCCTCTTCTGCCCTGAGGGAAAACTGGATGGAACACGTGAGGCCAAACCTCTTCTTGCGCGCAACAAAACATCTTAGAACTTCAGTGGATGACATCAGTCTTTGCTCTGAAAAGCGGGATAGGGTCGGAGTGAAGCCAGCCAAAAAGGTGAAGCCGTCGGTGAACCAAGTTCTCCAGGGCCACCCGGCACACGAAGAACACACCGAGTTCCCCGCAGGTTCACGCCGCGCTGAACTCGTTGAAGGCCGGGTTTACAGCCGCCCAGGAGGCGGGTCTTCAGATGTTGTGCGAGATAAATCTATCAGGTCTGATCCCTTGGGAGAACGAAACATTGGAAGTCGGCTGAAGGATGGATGATGCCGACCCAGAGGGATGAATTCGTGGATGTGTCCAAAGAGTTTGTTGAATGATCTTGAAGGTGCCTTGGTTCTTTTGCTTCAGGGTGGCTGTACAGCTACTCTGCCAACACTCCCTTCACCCTGCGAAGAACCAGGCCTGAGGAAGATAGGAAGCCATGCTTGTGCCTCCACCTGTGGGTTTCTCCCACAGGGTCTCCCACCAGCACAAGGTCAACAGAAGTCCAAAGGTAGAAGTCCCAAGTCTCTTGTCCCCAAAACTATATAAGTATTATATGACTAAATATATATATATATTATGTCAGAAATATCACCTGTGACCGTGTCCCTACTCGTTGATAGAAGTTTGTCCAAGCAAACAGCAAACACTTTGAGAAAACTGAAGCAGCTAAAGGGGAAAAAACAGCAGCTCCTTTGCTCATAATAGCGAAGGAGGTTGCGTAGCAAGTGGTTAGGGAACTCCCTGGGCTCCCTGTAGCTGCGAAGTCGCTTCCTTGTTGATGAGGAACATGGATAATCCCGCCTTACTAATCGCATCTAATCGCTCCCTCCTAACCACCAGCTAGATTATTTATGTGTTTTTTTTCTGTGGCTTCTCTCTTTCGCGGTCCTCTGCCGTTTCAGGTTGGATGGAAATCCGCCGCTTTGCATGCCTCCAGAGTTCTTCCAACATCTAACCCCCCCTTATCCCCCCTTAAAAAAGTGTTTTTGAGCTCAATTCCCAACTGCTGCTTGTTGGTTGTTGCCTTTGCCCCCGAAAATAAAAAAGGCACCGTGCGTCGGTGCGACGGTGGCCACGGGCTTCGGTAAAGAAAAGAAGGATATGCGTTCGACATGTGTGAAAAACTGTTTGGTGAGCGAAGATCAAACTGTCAAGACAATCATGTACATCAAGATGTGTAATTAGGGTCAGACTTTTAAAAAAGGGTAAACACATTGACATTATATAAAATATATGTATGTTTCATTGATTTCCCTTGACAACTAGTTGCAAAACAAAATGTGAACTAGAAGTTCATTCACACATTCATACTCATCAAACCATTGTCAGCCACTAAATGTTCAAAACACAAACCATGTTCAACAGTCAAATTATGTGAGATTCCCCTTCGGAAAAAAGTGAGGAGGGAAGGAATTGCTAAACTAAAGTCAAAAAGCAATCAACACATTGTGCGCACATCCATTCTAGTTCAATTCAACATGTCAAAAAACTAACAACAAAGATCATTCTGAATTTGCAAAAATAAATAAATACGCCTTTAAAAACGACTGTATATATTGTCGGCTCTTCTGCTGAAGAAGTGAAAGCTGGCATCCCACTGGGTCACCTTGCTCACTCCCGTCGGACGAATGGTGTTCGTCTCCCGGTGTCGTGTTCGTGGTTCGGCGCCTCGGACATGGCAGGAGGGTCCTCTTCTGGGGCACCGGCCTGCAGATATGCAGCATGTGCGAAGGAAGGTGGACATGCAGCGTGCCGACACGTCTTGGACATGTGACCCGGATCAGTTGGGGTGGTTGAAACGAAGTCGTTCGGTAATGAAGAACAACCACGCTTTACGTAGGTCAGATCGAGGGTGAGAGCGAGGTTGAGTGGCTGCCGGTACCTAACACCGGTGCACCAAGATCTTGGCATATCAGGAGCAAGAAGCTACTAGTAACAAAAGGCATCGCTACTAGGAGCAAGGACGCTACTAGGGGCTCCTGGCCTTACTACTAGGAGCAAAGGACGCTTCTAGTTAAGTTTCCCTATAAAGTCTGGGAACCAAATGAATAGTGCGAGCGCTTCTTCAAGGAAGCGTGAGCTATCTTGAGTCCATACTAGTAGCTTAAGTACATATTTCTAGCTACTACTGTACCTCTACCGGCCTACCCTCCCGGGCTCCAAAAAAACACATATTGTGCATCGATTATAGAGGAAGGTGTCGGTGTCACCTCTGTTGTGCTGGGCCAGGCTAAAGGTGATTGAAGCACCATCGCTTTGATCGACAGGCGACAGGCGACAGGTTTGAGCTCTCGTCACTTTGGGGGTTGTATGGGGGGGATTTGAACAAAACCAGACAAAACGCTCCTGTGAAGACAGAGATTGATCACAGTAATCCTTTTGTCAGGACATGTCAGGACTTTGCTGGAACACAGGTTGTTGCTCCAGGATGCAGACCACCCACTTCTATCTGCTAGGTAGAAAAAAAAAAAAACGATCGAAATGGAGACACCATCTCCTGGTGTCTCCCACTGGTGATCTTTGGCTCCTTCCCACGCTACGTACTGACAGTTTCTCTTACCCCAGCTCTATGGTTGTCGCATCCAATCATTGAACACATCCAATAGACATAGGAACTATATACTGACTACTGTTACAGCATATGCTTCGTCCACCTGCCAAATCTTGTTGCCCCCTAAGAATGACTCCACATGGCAAACGCAACACAGCAAATGTGCCTGGTATGACACCTTAGTTGGGGGCCCATTTCTTTTGTCTTGCCCTGAACTTGATGGTGTTTTTCGGCCTCTTTGAGGAGCTCCAACTTCTGTCAAGCAAAACCTACCCTCCCTTCAACAAACATGGAAGTGAAGTGGACTGGACAATTCTTTGTTTGTGGTAAATGACTTTCCAGGAGCTATCCACTTCCATTTCCATGCTTGTTTCACAGTATCCATTCGAACTCACCATGTTTGCCTCATCACTCAATCGGTTGCTCAACGGTTTTGCTTCGTTCCTCTCTCGGCCTCGTGCAGCAAGCTGGGTGTCCTCTCCAGCTTCTGGAGGCCCATGTCTAAAGCCTCCAGCCCCAACGCGGCCGACACGAACGCGGCACACCGACGCCCACACGAACGCCGCCGGGTGGTGCCGCCCTTCGGAAAACCAAGAGTTTCAGCGTCGAGAGGGAGAGCCCTTCGGGGTCAATGGCGGGTTGGGACCCCTCAAGATGAAAGATGTGAGTGGTTTCTAGCTCCAAGTCAGTGGTTTTGCTGGTCATGTTTGCCATGCATTTTTTCTGAGGTAGAGAGTGCCGGCGGTCGCGAAGTGTGATATAATATATGCGTTGTTGACAATATGATGGGACACTAGGCACATCACCAAACAAAACATGGGGCAGCCTCAGGCCACCATTTTGGTGCATCCTTCCCCGGGATCTGATTCTTGGTGAGCAAGTTTGACCGAATCAAATGGTTCTGGGTTCCATCTGAAACTGGAACTACTGTTTTTAAGGTTCGCACAAATCTCAAATGTGACTATTGTCTCTTATGAGGGCTCAATCACCCCCCACGGCGAGGGGGGTGGGACCGGGTGGGAGGTGTAGGATGACATTGGCAAGGACAAACTGTTGTCAGAGATGGCGACATCACCGAACAGCAAAGTCCAGTTCAGCAGATGGATACGCAAGCTCGTAACATGAATGTACAAGTACTAAATCATAATCTACTAGCCTGAAGCAACCTCAAGTGGACGCAAGTTACTTTGGCATTACAAAGTCAACGGTCATCGATTGCAGGTAGATATGCCAGAGTAATCAAACCCCGCTGGTGCCTGCGCACAATCTAGCGAAGCACGCAGCATCGCAAATCACACTTCACAGCCAAGTCGTGCCAACTGGCACTGTGAAGAACAACGCCCCAACATCTCCAAACAATATTTGCAAGTGGTGTGCACTCAAGAAGGGGATCTGCGCATTACAAGAGTGGCAACAGTCATCACATGCTACGTCTCTACTTTTCCATATTTTAACCACATCTTGTCACAATCGCAGTTGCTTTGCACCTGCTGCATCTGCATGATGCTCTGTTCCAACACGCCATGTTGAGCCCGGCCCTTCCGGCCCTTCAGCCGTCGCCCGGCAGCCAAGGAACCGAGGGGCTCTTCATGAGCCCTGCGGCGTAGTCGGAGAGAACTTGATCCGTCGGCTGCAACGCCTGCGTGAATGCGAGGTCCACGGAAGGAGTGTGCAGCACGGAAGTTCCAGCGAGTCATGCACACAAAGGACTCGTAATTGTCAAACCGTATACAGCTAACACATGCTAATTCGAGTTGAAATCATGAAGACAGTGTGAAACGTGAAACCTTGAATGGATAAGCCGATTGTCTTCTGTTCCAAGGAAGTTGCATTGCAGTTGTTGATTCGTCTTTGGGGCCAAGTAGCTGCGCTGCACTCCTTGTAAGGCATGGCTTACCTTTCATTCCATATATGAGCGGCGATCTAAACCTCTTGCATGCGGTAAAGGACATCAGACCCTATCGTTTTTGAAGGCTTGCGTGAAGCACTCCCAACATGGGCCTATAGCTGCGCACCCACAGTGGCTGCTTCTTTTTTTACTGATTTGCCGAGTCCCACATGTGACACAAAGCGTTCTATGGCTCCATTTTCCTTGCTACTGAGGTCCATGTGTGGAACACATGTGGACCTCTGGCCTTGTGGGCCTAAAAAACTGCTCTCAAATATGGATCGGAATTATATTGTTTTGGGCATCTTTTCTGGTGCTGAAGACATCCGCTAAAACCCTGCCGTTTTTTAGGCTACAAAAACATGAAGGCAACATCTAAGGGAGTGCAAAGGATATCTTTCTCAAAGCATATACAGACTACATATTTTTCAACAATAATGTCAAGATATACCAGAGCTAATAATATGTGTAAGTAATTAATCAAAATCAGCGTAGCGTTTTTTGTTCCCGCCCTATCGTTATCCTTACTACCAAGACTAGTATGTTCAAAAATGATGTCCAGCCTCCTTTAAGCTAAATAAGGAATCATAAAGACAGGTTTTGATAGGTATGGCCTGTGTGGCATAAAGACCTTAGGTCTCGGGGCTTCACGGCAGTCCAATCTTGTATTGAACATGCGAGACCGACCCCCTTTCAACCTCCTGGAAGAATGAACATTTACAAAAACCAACGGTCTCCCGATTAAATTAGACAGCCACATGTCCAATCAGGCATTGGTGCTTCGTGAGTTCTACGTCCAAAACGAGTTCATCTTCCAACATCCTGCACCTGACAAAGGCAACCATTCTTTGTCTGGCTTGTGGCAGTGTCTCATCCCTTCACCAAATCCCAACATGGCATGCAACGGGAAATGAATAAAAACAACATCATCATTCTAGGAACCCTCAGAAACACCAGGATGACCAAAGTGGGCAAACCCCTCAAAAAATCTTCAATTCTCTTGGCCACCATGGCCTCAGTTGTTGCAATTTGAACGCACGAAGCTCTCCAGTTTCATCTGCACAGGCACACCACAGACCACAGAACCCCAGGTGCCGCCTCTGGATGCTTCTCCAAAGCCTGCAGGTGATTGGCGTTGTGCTGGTGGACTCTACTTAACACTTCATCCAAAAGATCAAAAACACATACCAGCAACATCCGCGGGATGTCCAATAGATATCCACAAGCAGAGTGAGGCAAACATGTACAGTAGTATATTGGTGACCCCAGAATGGATAGTCCTTGTAGGTACGTTCACATGATCTTCACATCAGCGGATGAACCAAACTGCCATCCATTGAGCCATTGCGCCCTTGAAGGTGGCATCAATCATTTGTCTAATTCCCACGCAACCCAATCTGCGGACCTCCGAGCCCGGGCTTCCAAGATCTTCAAGGCTTGATTGCACTTTCAGAAAGGGGCATTCTCATGGCGTTGTTCTTTTTCCTGAAAACAACACAAATCCTCCGTTCGGAACACCCAATAAACCTCTGTTCGCTGGGTTCGCAGGGGGTTCACCCACGCATCCCTCCAGGGATCAGAGGACGAAGTCGGATCGGTCGTGCCCCAAATCAATTTCAGACGATAGAAGAACACGCCAACACATACACAAAGGTTGGTGATGAAAAAGGGTCCGGCATGCTAAGAAATGGTTCAGGGTCCCCAGTTTGTGATCTTACAGGCTTCAGTCACCTCAAGAGGACTGAAAAAGCTCACTTTATAGTCGACAAGATCTTCTGAACCAAGCGCTCCCTCCTGTGTTCAAAGTGCATTTATAAATGGGCCAAACCAAAACCAATATCTACAAGTGGGCCTATGCACCCCCTTCGTGTTTGGATTTATTTGGCATTTGGCCGCAGGCAGCAAGCATTCGAGTGCGGGGTGAGGCCTATGCCATACTCCAACAGCACCGTTCTGCGGATCTCTGGACAAGCTCCAGGAGATACTTGGAATTGAAGCATATTGAAACTAGCAGGATCATCCTGTCTGGGTGTCCAATGGCACAAGCAGTGTAGGGTGGTCTATTGGACACACAGACGACACAGACAGGATGACCCAGGTACGAGACTTTGTCCAAAAGCAGGGACAAGTTCAGCTCCTACCCTTTGGGCCTAGTTGCGCCATCTCCGGACCACCGCGCAGCTCCGGACCACGGACCGTGCCCGGCCCACCGCCGCCGAGGGCCCGGCCAAGGTTCTGGCGGATCCGTCCTCGCCCAGCAGTCCATCCTGGTGCTTCGGACCGACCGGTGGGTGCTCCAAACCCCGCTCCCGGTGGGTGCTCCCGGTAGGTGTCCGGTCGAAGCAAAAGAGCCTTCCATTACTACCCATGGCACTTCTCCAAACCAGAACTTAGGGTCCGCCCGTCTGAGCGATTCCAACCACTTCAGGTCTGAAAGTGTCGGCTATGGGGGGTTGGCCCGCACCGGCGTGCACTTGCCGGCTTCAACCCAATGTTTTCATCGTTGCGTCCGAAACCCGGAGTTGTTTCACGTTTCACCATCTCTGGAGGGGGATATCAATAATCCACAGTCAACCAGAACTCCCAGGGTTGCACCAGAACTCCCAGGGTTGCACCAGAACTCCCAGGGTAGCCCGCCACAGCGCGCCAGAACGATCTCAGGCGTTGCTTCCAAGGAGGCCTGGCGCACCGCGAGGCCACCGGGCCAACATCCAAAGAGCTCTGTATAGCTCTGTGAAATCATGTGAACACCTCACACCCCTCACAAAAACCAATACCACACATCTACTGCCCGCGTGCGGATTCCCGAGTTATGACTCGAACGATTCCCAGCTCTGGACGAGTCCGACCGACACGGGTTCTTCAGGTCGACACTGTCCGGATCGGACCGCGCCAGCGGCTCCGCCGCCTCAACCCCTGGAGGCCCATGGGAGGAAAATGGCCGTGGTGGTCGAAAAAATGCGTGGATACGGAAGTTATAGTGATCGAAAATGAGTGGAAAATGAGTGGAAGGATGCTGAGAGAATTGTTTGAAGGAGCTCAAAGTCCTCACTGTCTGCTTATAAATTGTTTAGAAAAACAGTCCTTCAGTCACCTTCTCATTCAGTCGCACACCGGACCGCGCTTGAGCATCGGGTCCGTCAGGTCGTGGTGTCGTGGTGGCGACCGCTGCCTCAAGTTTCCGGACTTCAGCGACCGCTGCATTCAAGGACTCCTAGAGCCGACACCGAGGTGACAGAGAACAAACGTTGAGATTCGGTTTCCGGGGGGGGGGGGGGGGGGGGTGGATGGTGGTGGCTGGCACGGCTTTTTTGGACGGCCGGTCGGGTGGGGTTGTTTCTGGGTGTTTCTTGTTGCGCAATTTGGATGGACTTCGCATCTTTCTTGGGGATGGGGTTTGACCCCCGCAAAAGGTAATGGACGGACACTCAGAAAAAGTCACCAGAAAGGAGAACTAATGGTTGAATGATTGCTTCCCCACTGAACTCATCATAATAATACAGTGTTTCAACATGATTGAAACGTCTATGTAGATGCATGCATTTGGGGGAGTTGGATGGATTCGCAACGAGCTTCTGACTGTGCGGCCTTTCATGCCTCTTTCACGTCTAAACAAACAGGATGTCATCCAAATCACCGACCTGGCATGGGCCGGGACCAGCAGATGTTGCATCATTTGGGTACACCATAAATCTCGTCTGCCTGCTCTTTGAAGTCTTTAATTAGCATGCAAGAAAATCCATCCATCATGTCATGTCAAACAAAGCATGTCAAAAGGGCCCTCCCCGAGACCCCCGCGAGGCGTGGTGGTCCAAACGATCCTTCTCCTTCACCAAGCGAGTCTCAACGCAGCAGAAGCCATGGAGCTGGATGAATCTGACCTGAGGGCCCCCAGAAGACTGCCAACTTGAGAAATCGGTCCCGTTCAACACCAACACTACGCGGAAAGAGACTCCAACAAGGGCCCTCATTCTACACAAGCCGCTCATGTAGGGGCCTCTTCCCATGTGGAAATTCTCTGTTCAATTCTCTACAGACTACCATCCTTGAGTAATTACATGTAGTTACCAATGAACAGGGTGTGGATCCAGAAATCCTGAGCATCAAGCATCCAGTAAGTGCATTGACGTGCTTCAGAAAGTTCATAAACGCTCTCTTCCTCTTCGACACTTCTGTTCTGGTGCCGTTGGTGTCTCATCTGCTTCCGGCGATGTCTTGCCATAGGCCGTGAGCCGCCACACGAGTCTCCCCAAGTGGCCTTGTCTGGATTGATGACTTGGTATGATTGATCAAAATGATTGCCGTCACCCGCCAGTTAGCAACATCACAGATCGCAGCAAATGCAGCACGAACCTCCAGGTTGGCCCAGGCTGGCTGAGTGTGTACAGCCGGCACCTGGGCACCGGCCGCATCAGAAAGCACCGAACGTGCCCACAGACCGCTGGCCGCTGCTGTCCATGCCTCAAGTTCGTGTCTCAAACAGCTCGCCTGGCGGAGAAGTTCTCTCAAGCTGGCACAATACGAGGATCCACTTGAACCTGAGTGGTAACATGTGGGTGCACTGCACTATTGAGATAGGCAAAAGACTGATTCTGATATACTCCCAAAACCTCCTGGAAGAAAGACTGATTGTGCAAGACCTCTGTGCAAGACCGCGCCCGTTCACCCCCTTCTTTTTCGCGCCGGCCTGAAAGTAAACCAAAACCCGCAGGGCCACGAGGTGTCCTTATTTTAAAGCATGTTAAAGCCCGGCCACGTTGGACCTTTCACCAGGTGTATGCTGGGGCCTCTGGCCACCCGATCAAAGACCTGGCGGCGTGCCATGTGAGCAATGAGCCTGGTGGGGTCAAAGAACGATACCAGCTACCATCTATAGAGTGGTGAGCGGTCCCTAAATATGATGATTGCAATTGGTGAATAGACTTTCCAAACATTTTAACTCCCTACAAAGTAATTGGTCCCTAACATGAACAAAACAAGTTAAAATACATTGTGACTGAACATTCGCTCTTGGATCTGTCTTGGGGATGACCAAAAATGGTCAACGAGAGTGTGCATCAGCTCCTCTATCAACACCCCATCCACCACCGTGAGTCACATGGACGGGCCCAACCATCCAAATCGCGAACTGGCGAGTGACCCGTTTGTCCTGAAACGGAAACACATGAATTCACAAAGGTGAACACACTTTCTGTGATTAATGGACAACTTCTGGTGCTCTTGGGCCACTTGGGGTAGAAAGAATCAGTTTGGCAATCTGTCGCACAACTTGGGAAAGGTATCTCACACTACGAAACAATGCTGTCGCTCTTGTTGAGTATTGATCCTGGAGGACCATACCTGGAAAGGATTCTCCAGGAATCGCCCAGGTTCCGTTGTTGGCCTCGTATACCAAATGCAAACTGCCCGACAGGGTGTCCCGGTGTCCCCCTTGTTTTTGTTCGCTCAAAACATGCAAATACATCGGCTGCTCCCCCAAACCCTGCAAATTTATGGGGCATCCAAAACCTACAAATTTGATCACCATCACCTTGTTTTGTCCAATAAATAGTCACCGGTGTGCTTCACACAATTGAGTGCTCTTAAAGAAGGAAGAAACGTCTACAGTAGGTTCTTCAGTCGTGAATGTTCGGACACCTCAAGCTGCTCCTTCCAGAAGTGTTGGCTCGTGCAACAGGACCTGTTTGATGGATGGTTTGGAAAACATTTTTTCAACCATGCAGCATCATGAAGACCAGATCTGGTGCTTTCGGCCTCCTCGCCGGCTTCTGACACATGATACCTGGATCGCGCACGGTAGCGGACGACCCCAGACCCTGTGGAGGTGGTTAAAGGAGCCCACACCCTGGAGCCCACACCCTCTCTCTGTTCTTCTGTTCTTCAGATAAACATGTACTGGTGCTTCCATTTTTGAAAAGCTACGTCCCTCAGTCCGTGCACCCAGTTCGCCCTTTGGGGACGAAGCCTTGAAGCCCACACCTTGAAGCCGATCATGCAAGGTCGGCAACGAAACAGGACAGTGAGACAGGGGCTGTTGATGCTGGAGACCATAGCATCCCACCAAGAAATACTATAGACATCTATAGACTCTTGATGTATAAACGGGTTCCAAGTTTTCTCTTGATCTGAGTGATTTTCAAGAAACTCTGGCGAACCTTCGGGACCTCTTGGGGATAGTGGCCTTGGCCAGGGGGCGGCCAACCCAAACCATAATAAACAGGCTTTGTCCAATCCTCATATGAGTTGTTTTCTAAATTACTTGCTTAAGCTGTATTCATTCATCCAGAGTCATGTGACTCATATGACTCATATGTGTTTCTTCCTCAAGAGTCTACATGACTCTGAAATCCTTGGGAATCGTGGTCTTAGAGGTGTGGCCCGTCAACGGTTTGTCGGATGATGTTCGGGGCCTCGCCTTTGGTCCAAGCTCAAGTCGTCCCCAGGGTCAATAGGTGTCCAAACGGTCGGTTGATTGTGACATCCCATCAGATCCCATGTCAGTGAACGTCGGTCTTGGGACGATGATGTCCCTTCTAGACCGCTTTAATCCTCTTTCTGGAGTGCTACGCTCGGTCAGCTTACCCAGTTTGCCTGTACTGTACTTGGTCGGTCTCTGTACTCGGGAGTCCCAAGCCCGGCCCGAGGACAGGCCGTGCCAGGCGCACTGAACTGGCAAGGAGCGTCGTCGCGCCATAGCAGCATCAGCAGGTATCGTTTGATCGGCAGGGGTGGAAGATTAACCTTACCTATGGTTCTGGCGTGAGGAAATCCCAATCAACATCAAATCCGCTGAGCTGAAACCATTGAACAAGTTGAGACACCGCCAGTTCAGCAATACACGTTGATCTGAACCATGAAGCATCCCTGGTTGACTGAACGCACTTTGACAAGGCCACAGGGTTCAACGAAAAGACACGGTCTATCGGTTTCTGGTTAACAGACCTTTGTTTTCTGTTCTACAACCTTGGTTTCTGGTTAACGAATCTTCAAGATGGTTTTGTGTCTAAAATTTGAACAGATTCTTGAAGATTGCAGGGATACGACAAAACCATCTTGGACAGTCACGACCATTTGTTCTACAGTCGTTAGCTTAAGAACTTGCCCAGCCCATAAGAGTTGGAAGATCTGCCACTGGCAAAGGCCCACTGCAAAACAGTTGCAAAAACAACCACACGTGATGTTCCACATGGAAATCCAAATCTGATTGAAACCTTAAAGCCAACATCTTAAGGACTTGCCTCTCACTCATTTACATCGGTCCTTCGGGCCTGCAGCGGCGGGGGCGAGGACATATGAGCGGAGGCCGCCCGTGGTCCGACCCGAGCGTGGCAAGAAGACGAGCCAAACAAAAGATCTGGGAATTCTGTGCCATTAAACCCATGTGCTTCGGTTGGTTGACACTTGCGCTTTTTTTGCCACAAGTGCCTCGGTTTGCTCATGTTGACCACCAGAGCAAACGTGAAACCAAGAGGATCAGTCTTTCAGAGCTGGGGGCAAAGACATACCCAAAGAGTCCTCCCTAAGTTATCTTCAAACAACTCCATTGCACAGTTTGAGTTAATAGTTCGTAGGCCTGAAGTCATCCCACGTGAGTTGAAGTGAGATTGGCCGGGCTTTGTAGTCAAGCCTGACTCTGTTGGGCGACCGCGAGGGTGGGCAGCTAAAACATGTTCAATGACATGTACATATATGTATATACATGTACACATATAGAATAGCCTGACACCAGATGTCTTTTCTTACTCATAAATACTGAATAACTATATCTACATCTATCTACAAATTTCTTGGCACATAGTAGCCACGTCGGAGCACCAACCTTCTCTCTCTGTTGGGAAGACCCTTGTTCGCACAGGTTACACCTGTCAACTCAGGTTTTGCCTTGGTCGAACGCTTACTGCGTCCCCCTGTGAGTCAGGATCCGGCTACAGGGTCACCTCCTGGGTAGCTGCTACCCCTGTCCAACTTGAGAATCGGACTCGGCCGCTCAACTGCGTCTAACCAGTACGCCCACCTCTGGGGGAGGAGGGACCAATACTAGCTGAGCTGTTTTGGAAGCGTCCAAAGCCCACGTCCAAAGCGTCCTCCATGCCAGGGGCCCGTCACTGCATGGAATGTCCGCCATCCCTTGAAGAGAGATCCAGAAATCGTCCAATTACAGTAGATCAAAGGTGGGGCAAGAAATGCTTCCGGTTTTGGGATCAATCAAGGCCTTCTTGAGCCAACATGTCAGATCAAATGACAATGTTTAAGAAGTGAAGCGTGCAAACCCAAGCCTTCCAAGCTCAACACACCATTATAATATAATCATTATATTATATCGAGGTGACCTCACACCAGAGCCAGTCATCCAATCCAAGAGATGACAACATCATCATGCAAGGACTTGGGGCCTCATACTGCAGACCAGCCCACACTCTGCAGTGATCCCGACCACGCAGGCCTTTTTGCAACATGTGCAATGCGCAACCTTGGCAACGACCGCCAAGTTGCAAGTCCAGATCTTGGAGGTTCATCCAAGGAGGCATGGTTTCTACATGTTTTTTCCAAAAAATCGCACAATCGTTCACAGCACACATCTTCGACATCAGCCGATGGGTGTGGTGTTCCCTGGCGTGCGTTCACCGTTCGCTGGGCACGCCAAAAGCTCAGCAGGTCAGGTAACGGTGAGGAATTCCTCCAGCTTGGTCCAAACAGCGCCCACAAAACGAACCAAACAGAGTGCTGCAGAGGGCTGCAAAGTGCTCTGTTCGTGGTTCTTTGGAGGAGAAAGAAGAAAGAAACAAAAACGGAGAAATGACCCAACTAAGTGGGATTTGATTGAATTGTGCTATGGGCAATGGGTTTTGTTCAGCCATCAGGATAATATGGTGAGGGGGTTATGCGGCATAACTGCATAACTTTTGCCTGACTTTGCTAACGAGAACACATCCACAGTGCATCTGCCTGACCTCTGACAATTGACTTCGCTCTGGTCCCAAACGCCTGTGGCCCAGATCAGTGCCGAAGCTCGCATGCGACCACAAAAAGGGCCGCTTCAAACACGATGTCGAGCCCAATGTCACAGAATCGTAAGCTTTAAGCAATGAGGGTAGAGGGGGGTAGAGCCTAGACAATATTGTGTTTTTTAGAGTTTGAATTCCCCACAGGAACTGGCTGGTAGCTAGCTGCTAGCTCACATGACCAATATCATCCAATATCTGCACTCTGTTGCAATGCCACGTGAGCCCCACACAACCCTAAACTTGAGAGAGGAGGGGGTGAACGAAAGGTAGCAGGCAATCACAAGTAACCAAGTAACCCTGGTAGAAATCCATGACGGGGTGAACCGGCGCAGGGAGGATTTGATCCAGGGGGCCCGTGGCTTGGACTGTTCCTTTCTATGTGACGTCTACTCTTCTCAGCAAGTTAAGGTGCTATTGACGACATGTTGCCCCCCCCCCGACGAACAGAATCATTTCTTACAGGACCAAATTCAATGCACAATCCCAACTCCTGATTGTAATACATTTTTGCTAAAGCAAGGAGAACTCAGGTAGCTCAAGCTACCTTTCGTGACTTGTCAGTCCTGGTCTCGCCAGATTGGCACTGGCTCAAGTCCTGCTTAAATATTTGAGCAAGACCCTGTCAATTCCCACCAAATCGACCCCTGAGAAAGAGAGAGAGACCAAAACCCATGGGTTGGGGGTAGTTTTCGGATTCGAATTACACACCGGTGGCTTGACTGAGCTGTAGGGCTTTTGTTGGAACCAATTCTTACCTATAGTCTTCAAACATTCCAAGACATCGGCCAAACATCTAAAGAGTACTTGGGTGAAGCACAAATCCCTGCTTCAAGGATCATCAAAACGGATCCGTCCGATCTCCCAATCGAACACCGGAAAGCTTAAAACCGAACGCGCGTCGCGAGCACAATTAGCACTGTGCGTCGCAAGCTGCACAAAGGTCGTGAGGACCAAAGCTTTGAGTTTCCTGGCTCACTCAAACCTGTTTCATTGGCTATGGCAAAGCTTCAAATAATCAAATGGTTTTGTCAAAATCTAATTGAGCACTCATGAGCATTCAAGCCCCAAGAATGACTCCTGATCTCGCTCGTGTACTTCGACCAAAGTGAGTGCGTTCCAAAACGGGTCAGCGAGAAGTGTGCCTGAACCCATTCTTCGCTGAACAGACGGGAAAGCGCCTTCGCGCCCCTCGCGGAAGACTTGTGGCACTCCAAGGCACTTTTGTGAGTCTGTGGGTGCTCAAACCGGGTATATAAAAGTTGGTATTCGCGACTCAGGTGCTTTGCATTCACTGAGTTGACGAAGTGCAAGACTGTTTCCATATATAATGTTGGATCCTGATCAGTAAAAGGTGGCCCCCCCTTCAGCTAGACTGGAGGTCCTCTACAATAAATTCTACCAAAACAAATTTGGATTCCTGGGAGGATTCCGTTTGCAAACATGGTGTCCAGAAGTATTTTTGACAATTGTAGCATTATAGGGGACCCTATTACTAATCAGGATCTGACATTATGTTGCACAAACATCGTGTCATCGTGTGCAGGTGCAAGCAAGTAATGTTTCTATCTGGCCTACAAATGCTACTTTCACATTTCACTTCGATGGCTGCTGCTGTGGTAACTACTACTCTTGTCTGCGGAGTCGTAATCACTTGCCAACCTCTTCCCGAGCATCCTGAGTTTTTGGTCGCCCAAACAAACGCTCCGAGGTCAAACTACGGTCTTGGTCTGATGGTTTTTCAGAGTGTCCGATAATGATGTACCTGGTCATGGTCAGTTGAGGAACACTCATGTGGCTCTCAAACACAAAAAACACAAACAAACACGTATAAAATTACCCGGCTACTCACATTAGTCTGCCCGTCCGCCCATAGCCAACCCTATGGCCAGCCGTAGCCATTTGGAAACTCGGTGTCAGCTGTGTCAACCGTTCACCGGGAGCGACCACCATTAAGGTTCAGCTGAAGGTCGCGGTGCGCATCGAATTTTTGTTTGCCAATGTGTGCATGAGCACATGACAGCTTCAATCAGCTCCATGTCACCAATGTTTGCCATCCCACATTTCACATTCTGTGCTGTTTGGGGGTTGGGCTCCAAAACATTAAATCACTGTGAGGTGAATGGTTCGGATCGATGAGGTTCGTTGGTGCGTCAATGGTTTAAACTGGAGTCTGCAGCCTCCCTGAGAGCCCCATGGCCCCCATGGTCAAAGAAACATGACTAAGACAAAAACAAAAACAAACACATACAAACCCCACGGATCCCCACCGTATTTGGACCCTCCAAGCCCAAATAAACATGTGATCGAACCCAGGGCCTATTTCCCATGCAACGCTGAAGGCCTTCAACGCTGGCCAGCGACTTTTCCAGGGACTTCCGGATCGTGGTCTGTATGGTTCGTTCCATGCCTCAGTGAATCGGGGATTTAAAATTAGACGCGGGCAAAAGGTCGAGATTGACTGCAGAACATCGAGATTCCATCCCTTAGACCGCAGAAAACGTTCGGCTTTGATTACCAGACGACATAGACGGCATAGACCGCAGGATTCAGCTCTAAAAGTATCAAACAAGCGGCTGAAACGACACTGGCTGGAAACAAAGGCAGGGACCTTTTCCACGAGTTTTGGCGCGCAGAACTGAATGGGCTATATGCATCTATATGTAAGGCTGTGGCAAAACTGCCGTCCCTCGTTGGCAGACAAGGAGACAAGGCAGCAGCGGCAGCGGTGGACCAAAATGCCGGTCAGCCCCCCAGTCATTTAAGAACCCCTATAGCTTTCAGCTATCCAGTGAAAAATCCGTCGGCCCTTGGGCACGGCGTGTTTGAGGTGATTGGTTTGTATGCTATTCTAGTTTTGTTGTAAACTTAAGTGTGCACCGGCGCGGATTTTGAATCGCCAAACTTCCCCCCCTCACCCCCCCTTCAGCCCTAAGGGCCGGCGGAACAACCCGCAGGGGTAAATGCAAAAAAATCCAAAGCATCCAACCTCGGTGACCGTTTTCTTCATCCTTTGGGGTGGGAAAAATCACCGGCCTTCGGATTCTTAAGTAGCAAATCGCCTGGCCTCACCCGGGGCAGGAACTCGCATACTCATGCCCTGTTCCGGACGGCTTTTTCAAGGTGACTGGCCTGTTCGCAACTCAAAATGGATCAGGGACTTCTCAATTACAGCATATAGGTTTGCTGATGGTGGTTCACAAACAAAAAGACCCAATCAAGCCAATGATTGGGACCCTGAAGGACCTCTGCTATAGAATATTCCTGAAGACCCTTGTCGCCGTGTCGCGTCTTGTGAATCAAAAAGCCTCAAAAAGGGGGGTGGTTACGGAATGTTTGCCGCTTCTTTGAGGATCCATTGCACCGGTTGCCAAACGAACCGATTAGGCCGTGGTGAAGTGTCCAAGATGTTCCATTCCAGCAAAATGACCAAATCATGTCAGCACTCCATCAACACAAACAGCTGAGTCTGGACTCAGCCTGCTGCACCATCCATTTGAGTCATTCGACAGGAATTGAGGTGCAAATATAAGTTGAGGGAACAGTGAGTCACCCTTTGGCGAAGGTACTAACTGTTACTAACTCTGATCAACTGCTATAAATTGGAGGTCCCAGTTCCGATAGCTGGAAGATGTTGGAAGTACACATCCAAACCAAGTGGTTGCCTGCCAAAACATGATGTTGTCCGTGACTCCCGAGTTGGAACCACAAATCCCTAAACCCTGCCGTTGCGCACCGTAGACCCTCCACCGGCGCTTTGCGATTTCTAGATCCAACCTTGGAAGCCCAAGATGCTGCCCTCCTCATCCACAATCTTCTTCTCTGGAAAGGGCAATGCGGGGTCCGGCTGGCCCCCAAACCTCCGGGATCGCCAGCGGACGTTTGCGGGTCAGCAGTGGTGCCCAAAAAAACACAAAAAACTTGCAAAAAAACATAGACTGAACGAAACCCTTCATCCTGGTTCCTTATAATGCAAAGTTAGGATTAATAAACCTCCCCTAGTTAATCCGAGCCCACAAAGCCGCCGGAAATTGCCCAAATTAAACGTATTATTCGCTGTTGATTTCCCCCCCTATTGTCTAATTTTCTACTAACAACCCCCCAGTTAATCCGAGCCTACACAATCAAAAAAGTAATAATACTCTTAATAAGGGGTTAACTAGTGGAGGTTTATTTATCCTGACTTGACATTATACTTGCTACTGCTGCTACTACTACTACTACTACTACTACTACTGCTGCTGCTGCTGCCACTACTACTACTACTCCTGCTACTACTGCTGCTGCTGCTGCTGGCTCCCTGCTCCCTGCTCCCTGCTCCCTGCTCCCTGCTCCCTGCTCCCTGCTACCTGCTACCTGCTACCTGCTACCTGCTAGCTACCTGCTAGCTCCCTGCTCCTGCTGCTGCCTGCTCCCTGCTCCCTCTGCTGCCTGCTACCTGCTCCCTGCTACCTACTGCTACCTACTGCTACCTACTGCTACCTACTGCTAC